AAAACAAACATAACATATTGTACCATCATAACAAAGTTACTAACAGTTTAGGTAAAGGGTTGAAACAGTAAAACAAACATAACATATTGTACCATCATAACAAAGTTACTAACAGTTTAGGTAAAGGGTTAAAACAGTAAAACAAACATAACATACTGTACCATCATAACAAAGTTACTAACAGTTTAGGTAAAGGGTTGAAACAGTAAAACAAACATAACATACTGTACCATCATAACAAAGTTACTAACAGTTTAGGTAAAGGGTTGAAACAGTAAAACAAACATAACATATTATTTATACAATAGTTAGGTGTGATTTCAATAATAGTTAGGGGTGGTTTGTACAATAGGTGTGGTTTGTACAATAGTTAGGTGTGATTCCAATAATAGTTAAGGGTGGTTTGTACAATAGTTAGGTGTGATTTCAATAATAGTTAGGGGTGGTTTGTACAATAGGGGCTGTTTGTACAATAGTTAGGTGTGATTTCAATAATAGTTAGTGGTGGTTTGTACAATAGTTAGGTGTGATTTCAATAATAGTTAGGGGTGGTTTGTACAATAGTTAGGTGTGATTTCAATAATAGTTAGGGGTGGTTTGTACAATAGGTGTGGTTTGTACAATAGTTAGGTGTGATTTCATTAATAGTTAGGGGTGGTTTGTACAATAGTTAGGTGTGATTTCAATAATAGTTAGTGGTGGGTTGTACAATAGGAGTGGTTTGTACAATAGTTAGGTGTGATTTCAATAATAGTTAGGGGTGGTTTGTACAATAGGTGTGGTTTGTACAATAGTTAGGTGTGATTTCAATAATAGTTAGGGGTGGTTTGTACAATAGTTAGGTGTGATTTCAATAATAGTTATTGGTGGGTTGTACAATTAAAAGAGTTTTAAAAGAACAGATATACAGGTTTTATTAACAGTGTTCCTTCAATTAATAATTGTACATCAGATTTGTCTAAATGTATAATTCTCAAACTCTTCAGCAAGATAAGGTGGTGAATGTTCTTTTAGGATTACAAATGATGACCTAACAGTCAAGATCCAGTTGTTGTGGAAACACCCACAAGAAGATGTGGTTTAGTCTCACAAATGTAGGTGGCTCTGAAGTCACAACCCGTATATCTGTATACAACCCATGAACATGGTAGCTTGTCTTTGTAAGAGAATAAATCTTGTAATTTGAATGTGAATTTAAAAATTCTCTGAGTTTAAGCCGAGAGGTGGTATTTGTGTATTCACTTATATAACGTTTGTTTTCCGATGTAGGAAATACAAATAGTGGTGGAACAACTGGAAATGTTGGGTGGTTTAGTTTGATGATTGGATTTGGAAATGTTGGGTGGTTTAGTTTGATGATTGAATTTGGAAATGTTGGGTGGTTTAGTTTGATGATTGGATTTGGAAATGTTGGGTAGTTTAGTTTGATGATTGGATTTGGAAATGTTGGGTGGTTTAGTTTGATGATTGAATTTGGAAATGTTTGGTGGTTTAATTTGATGATTGAATTTGGAAATGTTGGGTGGTTTAGTTTGATGATTGAATTTGGAAATGTTGGGTGGTTTAGTTTGATGATTGAATTTGGAAATGTTGGGTGGTTTAATTTGATGATTGAATTTGGAAATGTTGGGTGGTTTAGTTTGATGATTGGATTTGGAAATGTTGGGTGGTTTAGTTTGATGATTGGATTTGGAAATGTTGGGTGGTTTAGTTTGATGATTGGATTTGGTGATTAAGAAATTATATGCAAGTTTTTCTAACAAGGTTTGAAGGTATTCAAGATGTTATGTAAGAAGGTGTGTAACTATTTCTGGTAGTGAAGAGTTAAATAAGTATAAAACATAAAGACAACATAACATCATAACTTCTCTACATATGCACCATTGAAATTAGTAGAATTTCATTCCTTTTTATCACATGGAAATTATCTTGAACAACAAACCTGGCAAATTACACTAAAAACAGGTCACTGTAACTTGTTTTAACTGTTAAATGAGCATAACCTTGCCACTTAATGATTTAATCATGTCTGGAAAGCACAAATTACAAAGAGAACATTAACCTTTTAGTGTTACCCACTGATCTTTAATAACTCTTATTCCATCATGTAACCAACTAACTGAGGGTTTGGGCTGTCCCTTTGTGCCACATTTTAGGGTTAGAGACTTTCCTTCTTCTATTTCCTGGCTTTCTGGGGGGTTTATGATCAAAGGAACCTCTAGAGAGAAGAGGAAACAAAGAACTTCAATCACAATTACCACAGGATATTTCAGAAGCTGGAAAGCTTATGGAAAGAATCTACTTAGATATACTGGAAAAAATGCATGTGTAATAAGGATAAGAATGCTAGGCCTATAGCATAGAAATGTGCATTGCAACATGAGGACTAGACTTATAATATGGTAGTTTGAAACTGGTCAAGGCAGCTTTTCTAAATTAATATTTAACAATAAATGCAGAGAAAGTTACCTTTCAAATGATACTTCATTCAATGCTGTACAGTTAACCTTTTAGAATTATTGTTTGTTCCCATCTGACCAACTTAATTGTTTTCATATCAATTAAGGATTCAGTTGAAATCTACGAGTTTATATCCAATCTTAACACAAACATTTTTACATGGTATAACACTTAAAACACAGATCAAAACTGATCACACAACAAAAAACAATGTCTGTGACTGTCTAAAGTTTTCTACAAAATGTGAATTAATATTGGAAAATCCTTTCAGCTATTAAGAAATTTTACCAGATCAACAAATGGATTTGTAGGGCATCATAATAAGTGTAGACTATCTGAGATTAAACCGTATTACAGAATAACTTAACCTTTTCACAGCAAGTGGCTTTAGAATACTTTTATGTTACAAGTGAAAAATCAAAGTTGATTCACACGTGTATGTAATTTTTGTCTTTTTTTTTCACAACTATTTAACAGTCTACATACAGAAACTGAAAAATTTAATCCTTTTTTATACGATGTCATTTAAAATCTGAAACCAACCGTTAACTTCTAAACTTGTAACCCATGTTGCTTCTGGTCCAACACCATTTGAGGCTAGGCATGTGTACATTCCTTCATCTTCCCTCCTAACAGCTAGCAACAACAGATTACCTGCAAAGGTAAGTTAAGCTTTACAAACGTATTAAAAAACAAACTACTTTCTTTGATGCAGTTCCTCAAACATGTGAAACATCAAAGAATATATACTTGAAATTACCCCAAACGTAGGTAATTTTTATTTACAGTTAAATTCTAAGTCCGTAGACTTGACACCTGATAGAAAAAGGGTAAAAATGCTAAAGATAAAATCACATTTTATGAACCTGAGACTGATAATCGTACAGTGTAATATGTAAACATTTTATGAATTGTTTATTTTCTGTCAAGCTTAGAAGTGAACAGACCTCCTATTTGAGAGGAACTATGCTTATGAAGTTGACCATATTTCTTCAACCATGTTATATTGGGTGGTGGCACTCCCACAGCCACACACTCCAAGGTGACATTACCTCCCAGCACTACGCTTGTAGAGATATTTGGAGTCACAATAAAGCTAGGAGGGATGGGGGATGTTTCATCTGAAGAAGAAAGGAGAAATGTAACATTTTTGTTTTGTGTGTTACATGAAACATGATCAATCTAACAGTTGGTTTATACATTAGTAATTACAACATGATCAGTCTAACAGTTGGTTTATACATTAATAATCACAACATGATCAGTCTAACACTTGGTTAAAACAATAGTAATTACAACACAATCAGTCTAACAGTTGGTTAAAACAATAGTAATCACAACATGATCAGACTAACACTTGGTTAAAACAATAGTAATTACAACATGATCAGTCTAACAGTTGATTAAAACAATAGTAATCACAACATGATCAGTCTAACACTTGGTTAAAACAATAGTAATTACAACATGATCACTCTAACAGTTGGTTAAAACAATAGTAATCACAACATGATCAGTCTAACACTTGGTTTATACAATAGTAATTACAACATGATCAGTCTAACACCTGGTTTATGCATTAGTAATTACAACATGATCAGTCTAACAGTTGGTTAAAACAATAGTAATTACAACATGATCAGTCTAACACTTGGTTAAAACAATAGTGATTACAACACAACTAGTCTAACACTTGGTTTATACAATAGTAATTACAACACAATCAGTCTAACACTTGGTTTATAAAATAGTAATTACAACATGATCAGTCTAACACCTGGTTTATGCAGTAGTAATTACAATATGATCAGTTTAACACTTGGTTAAAACAATAGTAATTACAACATTATCAGTCTAAACCGACTGTTAGACTGATCATGTTGTGATTACTATTGTTTTAACCAACTGTTAGAGTGATTGTGTTGTAATTACTAATGCATAAACCAAGTGTTAGACTGATCATGTTGTAATTACTAATGTATAAACCAACTGTTAGACTGATCATGTTGTAATTACTAATGTATAAACCAACTGTTAGACTGATCATGTTGTAATTACTAATGTATAAACCAGGTGTTAGATTGATCATGTTGTAATTACTAATGTATAAACCAAGTGTTAAACTGATCATGTTGTAATTACTAATGTATAAACCAAGTGTTAGACTGATAATGTTGTAATTACTAATGTATAAACCAAGTGTTATACATTAGTAATTACAAAATGATCAGTCTAACACTTGGGTAAATCAATAGTAATTATAACATGGCCCACCTCATTATAATAGGAAACCTTATTAATATTTATTGATACTTAACCTAGAGGTTAAAAACACAATGACCCAGTTCTTTTAGGTTCATAATTAAGTCAATCTAACATACCTGTTAATAATAGTGTGTTAAGTCAATCTATCATAGTTAATAATAATGTGTTAAGTCAATCTATCATAGTTAATAATAGTGTATTAAGTTTAACATTGTTAATAATAGTGTAATAAGTCAATCTAACATGGTTGTTAATAATAGTGTATTAAGTCAGTCTAACATGGTTGTTAATAATAGTGTATTAAGTCAGTTTAACATTGTTAATAATAACAGTGTATTAAGTCACACTGTTATTATCAACTGTGCTAGATTGACTTAATACACTGTTATTATCAACTGTGTTAGACTGACTTAATACAATGTTATTATCAACTGTGCTAGATTTGCATGAATTACACCTTTCTTTTTGGAGATGGGGGAATACTAAGATACATATATATATATTTAAAACAAGCTAAAAGTCCCTAACATGGTGCACGAGAGTCACATACGACTGCTTGTTTGGTTAGTGTAAATACACTGTTATTATCAACTCTGCTAGATTGACTTAATACACTGTTATTATCAACTGTGCTAGACTGACCTAATACACTGTTATTATCAACTGTGCTAGATTGACTTAATACACTGTTATTATCAACTGTGCTAGATTGACTTAATACACTGTTATTATCAACTGTGTTAGACTGACTTAATTGTGTTTGTAACAAACTTCAACATTCTACTGTTGTACGTAATGTCATTACGTACTTGTTACCGTTAGAAACACTTGGTACGAAGCTTCTACACATTGCTGTGTTAGAGGATTATATGCTGAACATCTGTAAGTGCCACTGTCCACTAACTGAGCATCAAAAATTTGCAGGTCCCCTGACGGCTGTCGCTGGTGCCGACCTTTAAACAAGTTATACTACATGATTGTTAAAAATATACTGTTTGACTTATAGATTTCATTCTCCAGCATTTGATGAAAGGAAATATAATAATATCATTCTGTTGATAAAGACTGCGCTAAATTTTCTTTAAAACGTTATTTTCGGATTTAAAGTTATACAAACTAACTTAAGTTTATGTTCAAAGAGAAAAGTGCTAAAATGAATATCTTATTAAGCAAAGCAATTTTTAAAACTTAGATCAATTCTGACAAATTAATAAACATAATTACTCTGAAATATCGGTTATTTAATATTTTCTGTGTAAAAAATACTTTGACTTACCATTAAAACTTTGAAACTAAAACCACTAGTTAATCTTACTATCTGGCAAGAGTAATGAAATTAGTATTCTGTCCAAAATATTGAATTTTTTAAACTGTTAAATGCTTATTTCAATACCTTATACTTTTTTGTTTCACATGAAAAAAAAAAAATTTTGACTTGGCTACTTAGGTGTAAGTAAATGAATAATATGTAAAACTTAAATTATTTTGTGATTTTGAACACACCTTTTTTCAAATTAATGATGAATATTATTATCTACTACCTGAAAGTTCAATTTTTGTGTCATTAAAGGTGAACTCAGTGATGACCTGGGGTATACCATGTGGAGGAACACAAGGGATTACAGCTGTATTTCCAGCTATCACAGACAGTGTTACATCATTTGCTGAAGGAAAAGGTTGTAATTCTGGATATAATTAAAACACATAATGGTTAAGCATAAAAAAACAACAAGAAAACAGTCAAAACTACAATATTCATTAATGTAATAAACCAATTTCCATAATTACAATTGAGACCAAATCCACCATCGTAAAAGAAAAAACACTTTTTCTGTTCACCACATACACTTGAAGATTTAGATACACAATACAATAATATAAGAAATATAAGTTATGATATTTTATAACTTAAGTTTAACACTAGTAAACTTTGGAAAGTCTGGATAATAATATAAGTTATACTAAAGTCTCAGTAATAAACTATATTACATAATTAATAACTCCAGTTCTATTCTCAGTAATAAACTATATTACATAATTAATAACCACAGTTCTATTCTCTGTAATAAACTATATTACATAACTAATAAACCCAGTTCTATTCTCTGTAATAAACTACTTTACATAATTAATAACCCCAGTTCTATTCTCTGTAATAAAATATGTTACATAATTAATAAACCCAGTTCTATTCTCAGTAATAAACTATATTACATAATTAATAACTCCAGTTCTATTCTCAGTAATAAACTATTTTACATAATTAACAGCTCAAGTTCTATTTCCTAAATACACATTTACTCCAGTCCTTTAAACCTTTAAGCTAATGTCTGTAAATTCTACTTAAGCCAAAATGTCATATCTTACAATATACATACCTCCTACGATAAGCTTTGCTGGGCGGCTTACTAATGCTCTTCCCTGGTGGTATGCTATACACTGAAAGTGGTCATTTTTTGATGGACTGTGAGAATGGTGTTTTTCTTTTCTTGAAATCCTAACAACGAGTTTCTGTCTCCTTGTTCTCAAACTTATATGTCGAGGTTTGGCTTCTTCCACAGGCACTCCATTCCACAGCCACCTAATGTATGCATTTGGAATATTCACAGAACAACGGAACACTGCCCGTTTGTTGTCAGCCTCCACCATGACTGACGATGGTTCATGCTCAAAGTTCAAGGTCAAACTGGCATCTGAAACAATTATGTTTTCCTCAATTGTACAAAACTGAATCTTGTCTAAATGCACACAAATCCTGACATAACAAATTTAGATATATTTTAATCGAGATTTTAAAGTTATGTTGGTAAGGTTGAGAAAAGTATTGTTGATTATTGAAAATAATGCATTTTTTTGGTCACTGACTGTCACACATGTCAGTGTTACATACTAGATAATAAAGATGTAGTAAAGTTTTAAACTTTTGCAATCACTTTAGTAGGCTCGTGGACATGACTTTAACAATCCCACTTTAGTAGGCTCGTGGACATGACTTTAACAATTCCACTTTAGTAGGCTCGTGGACATGACTTTAACAATTCCACTTTAGTAGGAGAACGTTCTTTCAGGATGCAATATTTAAATTTTGTTTTTTTAGTCTAGTTTATTTGATATGAAAACATAACATGCTACTGCATAACCAAAACTTGGTTTATACAAAAATCAAACACAGAAGCACTAATATTTTTATGTTAAAATGAACTAATGGTATTTTTTATAAAGAGGTTCGTTTTTTAATGGAAATGTAACAGAAGTATAGAGCTCCTGGTGTTTTGCTTGATCTTTATATCAAAGTTACTATTAGATTAGGACCTAACTTCAATATTCTGCTTCTGCCTTCCTAATCTTACTCAGTGGAATTGTTAAAGTCATGTCCACGAGCTTACTAAAGTGTAATTGTTAAAGTCATGTCCACGAGCCTACTAAAGTGGAATTGTTAAAGCCATGTCCACGAGCCTACTAAAATGGAATTGTTAAAGCCATGTCCACGAGCTGCTGTGCCGTACAGCAGCAGTTCTATTCTCTATAATAAACTATTTTACATAATTAATAACTCCAGTTATATTCTCTGTAATAAACAATTTTACATAATTAACAGCTCAAGTTCTATTCTAAGTAATAAACTATTTTAC